AAGAGATCAGTCGCTATAGTTCATAAATGCACAAACATACAATCATCACCACTTGCTTCACAATACATCTTTAATCAGTTCTATGATGGCCAAGATGGTGGGTTGTACTGCTAATGGGTTATTTAACATAATCATGTAGAGTCGAGATCAAAAGTTGAATCCATTATTTATCAAAATGTCTTCATACCTGTTCTGACAGATGTTTGTGTGGCAACAGATCAGTTTCATATGTGACTCACCTGAGAAGACATCCAGATAAGGTCCTGTAGTCGTGGAGTTCTGTCGTCCATAATGTGCTCTCCTGGATCCCAGTGTCCAGTAACTCCCACCTACGTGACTCCTCTCTGGTGTCTCCCGCTCAGGGAAATTGGCATCGCCACCCTGCCTTCCTCTATGCTCATTCACCTCCGTGCTCCAGTCTGCAGACACAGTGACGGGCCCACCGATGGAGCAGGACCTCTGCTTGCGCCTCCTAAATCCCGGGGCCTTGTAAGATTCCACTGATTCGTCAGTTCCGTCTGTTTTCCTGGGCACATGGGGGCTGGTGATAGGTGATCCAATTGGAGAGGTGAGCTGCCTGGTGGTGGTCTTAACATATGAGGGGTGGACTGGAGGGTAGAGTTTGACAGTGGAGGGGGAACTGGAGGACGTCCGTCTTGGTTGAGAGCCATCAGTTGTCAGTTGGCTATTCGACATACTACTCTTCCGCCTTTTCAGGGACAGGAAGTCCCATCTCCCAGTTTCCTCTCGCTCCTCCCTCTCCATAGACAGCTCCATGCTGCTTGCACTTTTGCAAGGCCCGGGCCCTGCCACCACAGGGTCCAAGTGAACACTTGGCACGCACATCTTTTTACTCTGTGCAGCCAGATAACCTTGGCTCTGCTCTGGGTGAAAAACTGGGCTCTCCAGGTCATCCTGGGGCTCCTCTGCACTCTCGTACGACGTGGTGGTGGCTGTCGTGTCAGGGAAGCTGTACGTGCTGTTGGTCTTTGGGAAAAGGCTGCCACTGCTTCTCTCTGTATCTGCAGCTGACGATGATGGACCACTCTCACTCGGAGACCCTGCACCAGATGAAGTTCTTGACATTGGTAAATCACTGCTTTTGTTTGCTACTTTTTTATTCGCTACACTTTCTTGAGCTTTTCTTCCACTTCCAAAGTCCTTATCGATATCCAACTGCTGGTGAGATATTACCTTCTCATGGGCTTTGGTCCCCTCGGTGGTCGAGCCCACAGATGATTGGCCAGTTACCCTTTTGAATACCTCATCACTGGCCGCACATTGGTCCCTCATGGTCTGCTGGATGTCAGAGAGCAGGTCTTCATTCTCAGCTGCTGCAGAGTGAAAACTGTAGACGTCAGCGTCTGACCCCAAGCTCCTCTTCCGGCCTAGCTCATTCACCACAGATTGGCGACTCTCTGCGGTCAGACAGCCCAGGTCTCCCTCGACATCTGATAGCATCCCCATCTCATCGGCTGACAGGCTCGCCTCTGCACCAGCTTTGAGCCCCGCTTTGCCAACGTGTGCAGACCTCCCATCTTCCAACATGTCATCCTTGGACAACCCTTTTGCCTTTGATAAACTCTTCCTGATACCAGAAAACACAGAACCTTTTGACTCCGACTTGGATTTCTTCTTACCACTGTGTTCCCCTTTACTTGTCTTGCTGTGGGACCTTTTAGATTTTTTGTCCACTTCCACCTCATCAGCATCACCCTCACAGGAGATGTCCCCTGCTGCTCCACCACTTCCTCCCCCTTTCTTCTGCTTTGTCTCCTGGTTCCCCATGTTTCTGAGCAGGCGGACTCCCTTGGCTAGCAGGCCATACTGCTGGGGCCTAGGCTGGGGTCGAGGCTGGGCACGCTGGGCTTCCTCCTTGGCTGCAGACGATGCTGGTCTTCTGTTGGTCAGAGCACTCTCAGAGCTGCCTAATCTCTGCTGTCTGCCCACAACAGTTGAAGGCAGCTGTGAGGATGATGCAGCCTCCCTCGGCGACGCTGATGCTGATGATGAGAGGAGGAGGAGACTGGCACTGACAGCCGCGGGCTTGCTACCACTCACTGACTGCCTTTTCACCCCCCTCCCCTGCACAGGCTCTTTCACTCTCTGATCCTTCCTCTCTTTTTGCCCCTCCTTTCTATCCCCATCTGCTCCTGCGCGCTCAGCTATCTTGCATAACGGGCTGCTGGTCGAACGAGCCAGCCGCTGATGCCCTGGAGTGCACTGCCCTTGCCCTTTTTCCGTTGAAAGGGGAAGAAATGGCCCTGGATGCTGCTGGAGATCCTCTATGATGCTCTGTTGTTGGTGTTGTTGATTAAGGAGCGAGTGCTGTTGATTACGGAGGATGTTGGTAACGCTGCTGCTCTTCCTCCTCCCTTTGAAAGTGGTGGTGAAGAAACTCTCTTTCAGAAAGGGCACCTGGGTCTCTACGGTCTTGATAGTTTGCATCCTGACCACTGTGGCGTCATCCAGAGGGGAGATGGTCTATAGAGCCTGCAGTGAAGAGAAAACAACATGTTACATTCAAAAGGATTCATATTTCAGATGAATTTTACTCTTATGTCACATGTTGACATGCATTGATTCTGTGTAGCGATCATAAACTGATTCTCTTGTATCTGTTGCCTTTTCACACTTTGTTGGAACAGTTCTGACTTCACAGACACCGAAATCTGGGGCGATTCAAAAAACACCATGAATTTAGTAATTCAAAGTTTCTCAAATGTAAAAAATTCTGTATCACTTTTATATATTTGGATTTTGTGCAGCTGATGGAGTTGGTGAAATTATTTTCAATGTAAACTACAATAATGATCAAAGCCAACATTTATAATTTGAGAAAATAATCATCAAACCATCTTAAATAGTATAAAAATAGCAATGATTTTTAGATCACATTTAATTGTCAAGCAAATATTCATGAAATAATTGTACAAAATCTCTGAAAAACCTTTTAAATACTAATTAGAAAAACACATTTAATCGTGTGTGTATGTTTCAATCTGAAGCTAAACATGTATGGGAGGTGATTAATGCCTATGGGTGTGGTACTGTTGTCACATCTTCTAACACCAATAGATATTGTCACCTCCTTGTGACTTAAAACAATAATGTAAAATGTACTATTTTTGATGAAACCAAAACCCTAACCATAACAATATTTCCATTCTTGAAGTTAAGAACCCAATTCAAAGAAAGAAAAGCACATTTACCAGAAATCAGCAGTTTACATATTCAATAAAGTTTGTGTTCTTGATTAACTTTTCTTCTTCTATTTTAGTGCTTCGTGATCATGTCTTTTCTCTCTAAACCGCAAATTATGTAATCACATCAGCGTGAGTCAAATTTGTTAAATTTGTTGTCAAATTCAATCATATATGAAGTAGAGGAAAAACAAAGCGTCTTGAATTTTTCTTAAAATTGTTTGACTTAAATGAGTGTACTTGCCTGACTGCTGGACTCCTCAGTGGTTCAGCACTGACTGGAGGAAGCAACACAAACAGGCGCTTGTCTTTGTCTATGAGCCGCTCCTTAGCCATGGGTCACATGAAGTTGGTATTTTCCTCATCACATGTCTGGTCTCCGAGGCCATCTCCCATCAGCACTGTCTGACAGGCCTCTCACGAACTTCATCAGGGAACATACAGGACTGTGCTACAGCCACTTGAGTTTATTCAGTTTCTAGTTAAAGTAAATGTTGTTGTATTGTCAGACAATGATGAGAGTCACATGTAGAAGAACATTAAATAAAAGTTTCCCCCCTCTCACATGCTATTGACTCAGAGTTTTTACTACATTTGTTTGAGTGAAGCCTGGTGCCACTTTTAAGTCCATCCCTCCAATCAACAGATGACTGTCAGCTGCATGTGTCCTCCCCACAAAACCTGTTCCTGTGTGTGTGTGTGTGTGTGTGTGTGTGTGTGGCATTAATCTCAGCACACCTCTGATCAGAGTGGATCTATGTTAAGATTCAACCACTTACAGGCAAAGAGAATGAGACAGATATAAATACTGTATTTGTTTTTTTAGAGCATCATTCAAAAAAATATTATTCATCATAATTGTACTTTGTACCTATCACTACTAAAGACAGAATTTATCTTTGCCCAAATTTGAGCAGGGTGCAGGTATAACACAACAAATTCATCCAACAAAAATCAGTGACCTTTATTTTTTGGAGAAAGTAAAGTTTTGAAGAATTTTTCTAAATTACAAAGACTAATAGAAACATTTCTTTAACTGTAAGTGGATCGTGGTGGAAAATGAATCAGTACTGCACACTCAAAGAGTTTTGAGTCATTTTTAGCATCATGAATTCTGAATTAGTTTTAACATTTCATGCAATTACCTTTGTTTGGGTTAAATAATTCAGCTTTAGAAATATCCAGAACCCTGCTGAGATAATAAGATCACACTTATTGAAGACACTCTAAAAACAATGGAGGGACAACCGCAGGGCCCAGACTTCAATGGGATTAAACATGTCTGCCAGGTTTTGCTTTGGAAAAAAGGAAAAAAATGATTTGGGGGCTCTTGCAAACAGCATGAAACAATATTGGAGCATATTTCTAAAAAAAAAGAAAAAAGTATCCTAGAAACAATGGAGGCTGTGACAGTAAACATATTCATATGTGACCTTAAAGACCTAATATTGCACAGTGAGTGTAGATGTTTGTGGCATGCTTTGGCGACACATAGATTAAAGTAACTTGCACTCAATGGACCGTGACACAACAGTTACAACTTTTTAGCACTGATGGAAACATTTACAACATTTGCAAAACATGATCAAATATTGAGACACCTACCCAAACCTCATTGCTTGGACTCAGATGTGAATTTGTAATATTGCCAATATGAGGCAGGGTGATATTCAGTTACACAGCTACACAATTAGTTTATTCAGCTTTCTGAGTGAACATACCCTGGTAAAATACAGGTAAACTGAATTGAATCATTCATGTCATGAATCAAAAAACAGATGATTTCTGTCAAAAAGTTTGTTTATTGACTTAAAATATGAGTACGATTGGCATACTTGAAATGTAACAAAATGTTTGTGTTCACCATTTTGGTCGTATACATTCCAAATATCTAAGTACAAAAATCTCATATTTTGATGAAGAGTGTATAGTGACACTGGAGCACATTGTTGGAAAAGCAGACATTATATCCACTGTTGACAGGCAAGAGATATTTGTTTACATCTCCTTTGCATACAGCACTTTATATATGACCACTGCATCCAACACAATCCAATCTACTCATTCTTCAGTACGTCAGGTGCAATGATGCAGTTTGTCCACTGCCTCAAATACCTTATGCTCAATATCCATACTAAAATAATGGAGTGCAGCAACAATGCAAAAAAACATCCACATAACATCCGATAAAAATAACATAATGTGCATTAAAATAAAACAACATTTTAAATTCTTGCCTTATGTGGCACCTTACTTCTGTTGGTATGTGGTGTTTTCCCATTTTCTATATAGAAAACAAGATGTACTGTAGACCAAGGCAGGTGGCAATTCTATATACAAATATTTATGAATCATTTTAAAGAAGAAATATTTCACCCATATATCATATGAAATTAAAGCAAAAACCCAGATGACGACAGAAAGTTAAACATTTTACCATCTATGACTGTGACCATTCTTTTTTATATGCTACATATATTTTAAAATATTAATTTATAAAATATAAGCAAAATTATGAACTGAAGCATAACTGCTGCACAACTATGATAAAAGTAGCATTTCTGTTTTCATATTGGCAGAATGGGATTTTCTTACTGCACTGAGTGGGATTGACAGTCTGGACTACAAGTCTTTCTCAGGCCACTAGAGGCTGCCATTGCTCTACTATACAAAAGATGTGGGACCTTTGTAGTGTACCTGTGTAGTTTTGTATAAATGTAAAAGGTAGTGTAAAATCAAAACACACATCTTTATAAATGGACATCTGTGTTTGTGTGTGTGTGTGTGTGTGTGTGTGTGTGCAACCAACAATTGTGTATCAAGTCAGAAATATCCAAATGTACACAAACAGAATATCATCATTGTATATTCAATACTCTTGACAAAAACCGCAAGTACATAAAACACAACCAATGTACTTATTGTCTCCACCATAAAAACCACAACAATCACATTGAACACAACAGCAGTTCACTGACTGTAGTGCCACACAGAATATTCACAACTCAGTTCATCAGAAGAATCATTTTCAGACTGGCTCGAAATCTCAGAAATATCTAGAAAAAACAAAGATGAATATCACAAAAATAACAGATCTCTGTTGACGAAAAGTAAGGACACAATTTAGAGAACTTCTTTATACTCCATCAGACAGGAAAGCTATATCCATGTAGAAAGGCAATGTACAGATGTTCTGACAAAAACACGAGCCAGTCAAGAGGACGGCCGGTCAAATCAGTTCAATGTAGAAGCCTGTGAACACAAAGTCATTTTGTTTTGGCTTTCAGTGAGATATTACAGATACATAGTTTTGTTTAAAATGCAAAACCACGTTACAGATCTAGTTACCCACAGAGAGCAATGATAAGAAATATGAATCCCAAACCCTGTGACAAAGATACGTATCTGTTCCCCTTGTGTCAACTGCACTTCAACAACTCTCCGTGATGCATTTTAAAGCCCTTTTCTATTATTTCCACTCAGTTCATTTCTCCCAGGTGTACAAATGTGCCATGGTTCTCCAAGTACAGATGAAGAGGTTTCATCTGGACCTCACCTTAAAAACCCCTTCACACATACAAACTGCTTTGCTAAATTGATGAACCAACACAAAGACACCTGAAGACCACCACATAGGATCGCTGTGTGACTTACCAGCAGAGAAACACATTAAGGATCTCTTAGTAAAGAAACTCCACATAGAAATAAATACATGGATGCTTCTTCCTTTTCCTATGTTAAATCTTTTGATTTTGACCATCTTAATGTCTTGTCCTTTACGTAGACTCCCTTGGAATCCTCCTGTGGAAGACCACTGAATGCTTCTGCTGAAACTGCTGCTTCCTCCTTTTCTTCTGGTCCCAGCGACACAACAGAATCATCTTAAAGGTTGTGCGGAAAGTCTTGTTGCACAAGGCGTAGCACATGGGGTTGACAGTGCTGTTGACGTAGCAGAGCCAGTACCCGACCGCCCACAGGGTCTCTGGGATGCAAACTTTGCAGAAGGCATTGATCAGCACCATGATGTTGTAAGGGGTCCATGTGATGATGAAAGCAAAGAGGATGGCGCTGAGAGTTTGAGCTGCCTTCTTCTCCTTCACTAACGACATGCGCTTCCTCTTGGTGATCTGAGTCCGAGCTCGGGCGGCAAAACGCTTTGCAAGAGCAGCCTCTTTAAAGGACAATGGGACGGGGGGGGATTTGGTGGTTGTGCTGGTGGTAGTCCTGTCTGTGGCAGTGTTGGCAGATGTTGGAGGATCGTCCAGAGAGCCTTGGTTAGATGTAGCCTGGATGATGGGCATTGACTGAATCTTGCGTGAGCAGAAGTGTTGGTGGTAGCTGTTGTCTGAACTGATTTCTCCATCAGGAGTAGTGGTGGCAGTGGTGTTGGTGGCGACTGTTGAGAGACTGTCTCGGCTATACTCTGCTCCTCTTAGTGGATCCTCCTCTGAGGCTGCGTCCAGTTCCTCACATGAGGTGAGCTGGGAGTTGACGGCTGCCTTTATACCAGGCAGGCTGAGAACAATGGAGAAAATGGCATGACTCTGGGAAATCATCTCTTTGCCCCCACAGTCCTCATCCTCTGAAGACCCAGAGTGGTCCAACGAGACTGCAGCATCATTGTTGTTCCAGCTGTCACTGCTACTCTGGTCTGGATCACCATCACCTTGCCGTGTACTACCAGGTCTCCAAGAACGAACCCCGGGCCAGCAGTGGAAGCGGCCAACCAGCTCCCGACATGTGCTCCTCCTCTTGGACAACCTGGTTAGCTCGTAGCTGTTGCAACTTCTAGAACTTCCTGTCTGATGGACAAAGCGGGTTCTGTCACCCCCACCATTTACACCTCTTCCTGCTATCCCACCACGACCCCCTGAACCCTGTAATCCAGCTAACTCTTTTGAACGGTGCTGGGTCTCCTGGTAAATACGCCAGTAGAGAACACTCATTATCGTCACAGGCAGATAGAAAGCAGCCATGGCTGTGCAGAAGGTTATAGTGGGCTCTGAGAGGAACTGAATGTAACATTGATCTGTGGGTACTGTCCTTTTACCCTCAAAATACTGCCATAGCAGGATGGCAGGGGCCCACAGAACAAGTGAAACAACCCAGGCAAGGCCGATCATGATACCAGCTCGCTTTGTGGTACGTTTGGCCCGGTAAGTCAAAGGCCTGGTGATTGAAAAGTAGCGATCAAAGCTGATGACCAGTAGGTTCATAACTGATGCATTGCTGGCTACATAGTCAATGGCCAGCCATAGGTCACAGGCCCAGTTGCCCATGGCCCAATAGCCCATCACAAGATAAGCTGTGTAGAGGTTCATGGAGATGACACCTATGATGAGGTCTGCCACGGCCAAGCTCAGAAGGAAGTAGTTATTGACTGTCTTAAGCTGGCGATTAACCTTGAAGGATACCACTACCAGAATGTTGCCAATGACGGTGATGAGAGACAGCATTCCCGTCAGCAAGACAATCAGGACAACCTGCCACACAGGGTGGCCACCCAAGGGATCGAGGATCACAGTTCTGTTTCCATTTGGGGTTTCTGTTGTGAGGTTTAAAAGTTTGCTGGTGGAAGAAGAATTATCATCCAATGTATTCACATGGGAAAAAAACCAGGGAACCCCTCCAGTTCCTCCTTGGTGTAGAGCATTGGATTGTGGGTAGCCTCCGGCTGTTGGTGGTGAGGTGTTGGCACTCAGGAAGAGACCAGGGTCTGTGCTGTTGGAGCTCATTTTTATGTCCTGGCATATTCTAAAGAGAGAGAGACAGAAAAACAGAAAAGGGAGGCGAGAAGGCGCAGAGAGTGGGGAGGGAAGAGAGACATGGTTTAAAGGAGGAGAAGAATAGAGTGAGAAAGAGAATGAAACAGAGAAAATACACATAAGTTGCTGTCATTCCTCTTCATAACCAGTAGGTGAGGCTATAAACCTGTTCTTCTAAGCTGGGTGTCTGAACAGACTGAAAGGATGTTTGGGTCTAATTTGTCTTTCCTGTTAAACAATCACTCATAACTACATTTGTAGACGATCTGTTTGAACAGTGTAAATACGTAGCGAGACATTTATTTAATTAAAACATGACAACTGAATCAACAAGGCTAGACAGTCAAAGCATTCAGTGACAGAGAGGGATTGCAATCAGCACTTATGGGTTTCTTATGACATCCGGGAAATTGCAAAGACATTTCACTTACACACATGTAATGTATCATCAACATGGCAGTTGTGTTGTTGCACCAGAATATCATCAAACCTTAGACAGGGTGTCGTTTTAGACGCTCACACACTCTTTTGTTTGGTGTCGTCTGTCTCAGTCAGTGTGACACATTAACAGTGAAAATGTTTTCTGTCTCTATGTTTTGTAGTTATACTGCTTGCACTCTGTTCACTAATTCATCTAAAATATCAACATAACAGATAACAGCCAATAGAAGCAGGTGCAGTATTTGTTAGTAAACAAAGTCTAAATAATTAATGGCATTGGTGAGGTTCAACATTACGTAGACAAATGTAGGCTTGAAGCTTAGGGACAAAGAAGATCGTTTAAAGGAGAAATCACCGTAAAGGCTTGAGAAGTACTCTGCTCCTTCTTCTTGTCTGAACACTGAGGATTTTGGTGTCAGTCATTTTAATTCATGTTAATTAGTCACCAGGGTTGATCTGATGTTCCGTAAGCCCCCTAATACAGAAAAGGTTGAAGACACCTTTTAAACAGAGAAATCTGTGCAGGGATAAAAGTGTGTGGTGGTGGAACAGAGGGAAAGTTGCACTGCAGGAGTTAACAGCAGCATTAATCCTGGAGAGAATATCGTACTGTTTGGTATTTGATCAGGTATCACTTCCCGGTGGATAAGCAAACAATCATAAAAAAATGTCCTGCTGACTTTCTTCAAAGCAATTCATGATAATTGGATAGTAAGATGAGGACTTTTGTAAGAAACGTGTCATTTCCAATTCAAAATTTCCTCTGCAGTAATTTATTATCACTGTGGTGTTTTGCATTCAGATGTGTAGATTTGAGGAATCCTTACATTCTCTTAAACATCTCCATGTTTACACCACAAAGTCATTAAGAAAACAGTATTGTATGAAAATCATTGGGGTGTTATGGAATGAACTATGTGGACATGGGGATAATTTAGTAATTATATTTGTGCAATTTCTCATGATCAGATTAGGATGAATTTATTTTTTACATATATGAATCTATGCATCTTTTTTTACAGATTGTAACACATTATCATATGCATTCCTTTTATTGTGAAAGCCATGAACTTACTATTCTCCTCTTGACATTTATGACAACAGTTCCTTTTAAACCTAACATGAATCTGGACCATCCTGTGTTGAGGGAACAAACTACTCATTATTAAGGCCAAATAAAAACATCTAACCCACCCAAACTGCTGCACATACGCACACACATGCCATTTGCTCAAACGTTCTAACAATATGTATGCGAAGCCATAACAATCCCATAATGTTCCATCCCAAGGGAACAGGTATTTGAAGCAGAGTGCTGCACCTGTGCCTTGACACAATCTCAGACCTCCCACTGAGCTCTTAAAGAACCTCTGTAGCCGACAGCGACCGACACTGAGCACACACGGAAATAACTGTTATCAGGAGGCTCCCTGCTATCCCCGCTATGGACACACATTACTGCATCCATGCACATACACGGAGAGTATGCTCTCACATTTAACACATAAATATGTAATATGTGCATTGTGAACAAACAAACAAATCTGCAGAAACATTGACAGATGCAGATAAATACAAAACATCTGTATAAAAGCTCCAACAAATGATGAGGAGTAAACATCAGAAAACAAAATCTTGTGAGTGCATGCGAAAGAAATGTACTAACATATTTTAATTGGCGTTTGAATACAAGGGCTTAAACATTTTGGAAGATAATCTTAAATCTGCTGCACTCACTCGTTTAAAGGTAGAAAAAGAAATAGTTAAGTTTTAGATCAAGAAAAATAAATCAAAGCTAAGTGTTAAACATCCTGTTTGGGAAACATCGTCATAGCCTTGAAGAACAGAGATGGGATATTATGGGAAAATATCACCAAATACCACAGTCCTTTTATCTGTCTTATTTTGAAAACCACAATTTCAATTACACCGATTAGAGAAAATAACACCTGTCTAGTTTTGTATAGAAAAGTGCAGTATAAACCCTACGAGTGTGTTTGAATGTATGTACACTGTTTGTTCAAGCTCTGTTTTCATGCATAACATTGACTTGACCATGGCAAATATATTTATACATGAAAAAACCTAGCCTTGCTACCATAAATTAATACATTTCTATCTGTAATCCACCGAGAGCAGAAACTGGCTGCACAACACAGGGAGAGCGGTTTATTATAGTTTGTTTTTCCCTAAAACTGAACTGATGAAGCCTTTTTTAGATTAAAACCACTGCAGATGACTACACCCTCTTCTAACATGGGTGGGCTAGCAAAACCATTGGAAACAATCTGCTGTTGCAGGGAAGCTATTATAGTGTCTATCTCTGCATGCTCACGTTAAGCCCTATATCTTAAGTTTGACTCGCAGGCACATAGAGAGATGATAGTTTCAGGTACAAAGAGAAAAATCGATACTCGTTTACTGTGTTGCAACGCAACCTGTTCCCTGACATTTTCAAGCATTTGTCCCAGCAGGGCTGGACAAAGCAATCCAAGTTTGGACCAAGGATCCATCTAAATGATTGGGTGACTAATACATGGCCATTTGAGGTTTCTATTTTCAGCAACTAATCTAGCAGAGCCATGATACGGGCAGATGATATCCAGCAAGTATATGAGTCATGCTGACAGGCACCTCTTCAAATAAAGTTAAAGCCGCTGTAATAAAACCTCTTCAGTGCCACAACATTCCTTCACTTAAAGTCTTATTTTTACCATTTAGCCTATGTACATGTAGTCAAAGGGGGTTATAGTCTGCTTTAAAAGAAAGTAAGGGATATTTTCAACTTCCTTTTTTTATGGGGCTCTGTCTAAAAAAATAAGAGTTAAATCCTCCATTGTTCATGTACCGCCTTATGTAACATGTACTACTGCTGGAGGAAAGAACAGGGAGACATCTGGAGGCAGACAGGGGTTTTAGGAGTTTACTTTAAAAAGGCATAATTATAAAAAATATCTTAAGTATAAGTGGCTTAAACACAAGAAAGATTTTTTGCCAAACAAAACACAATTAGATTCAACAGCAGACTCTAAGCTAATAAAAAAAAACACATCCTGGCAGATGCAAGCTTAGAAAAACTAATCAACAACTGGGGGCTGGATCAGACTGACAACCCTAGAGTTGCGAGGACTTGGGAATTCGGAGAGTGCAACTACAGGCTAACAGAAAGCATTTTTACTCAACCCAGCAGATGCAAGCAGTGGCTTTGTGATTGCCATCACTAACTTGGAAATGCTGCATTGTCACGCAATATGCAGATTGCTGCCTATGGCAAGAGGACAGAGTCAGGACTTCCCACAGAGATACACACTGACCGTGTATTTAAAGCAAGCAAACAGATTTGCACGGCATTCAGTTTAAATTAAAAATGGGCTTAGGGTCTTGAGAATCACTCATGCAACACATGCAGGTCCCCAGGACAAGTTTAAGTCAAACGTATGAGTGGCTGTTGAGAGAATCGTAAACAGAAAGAGAGAAGTATAGAAGACAGATATTTCTGGATTTATTGGTAGTGGTCTTGATAAAACATTCCACGAGATCATGTCAGTAAAGCCTCTGTGACACCTTAAAGCTGGATTATGTCGTTACAAGTCATAACTTTCAAATCGATCGGACAATAAAGTTCTATTCATTCATTCATAAAAGGTGGTGAGGGTGTGTGTTTCAGGGTGAAATGTGATCGAACAAGTTGTGCCACAACACCGACCACTGCTGCAGTAATCTTGTTGGTGAGCAGAACCTGGAGTAGACCACCTCTGAAGTTTTATTTTACATTTGCAAATACAACATGTAAATTACGACTGCAGTAGAACTTTATGAAAACAGAACTTAAAGGGAGGTTTAGTCATCTCGAGAGTTATACAAATACTGAACAATCTGTTATTTTATCAGTCAACTAAAAAACAAAATATAGACTGCATGAATGGCTCTGAACTAGATCCGTATTCTAGGTAGTGGAAAACAGAACCACAAGAACGATCTGACTTTTGGTGGCCCGGGGCGCAGTGACATAATTTCAGTATTTTGCACAGAGCTGAACACAAAGCACGAGATGAGGAGAGACTGGAGTCTGCTGCTCGTTCCCTGCCACCTCTAACGTGAGTCCAGTGAGACGTCACAGGCGCTCTAACAATGCATTTTGTAGGCTTGTAAATGTCTCGCATTTCCTTAGACAATACTGGAAACCAGAATAATATATGATGTTATTCTGATTTAATACAATGGTCTGTGAGAAGTGCTGAGCCAAAGCACGATTTTGAAAAACCTTTACATTTAAAACAGGCAGCGATAAGAGACAGAAAAACCTACAAAAGATGATTGATAATGTTGTGAACATGATAATAAACTGCCCTTTTTCTCGTTTTGTTCAATTATTTTAACTACAAATAAGGATTTGAGAGATTTAAATATTTTCAAATCCTAGCATTTCTTACCTAACAATTACATCAGAGCATTTGGTGAAGCAGTGCTGAGCCTGTCCTTCATTGAAGAAAGGGATTTTTCAGATGCTGAGGGTTATCAAAATCTATCCAAGCTGGTAGTGACGGG